CGAGCACAATAGGTCGCAGTGCTACAGGTGCTACACATCTGACAATAGCCCAAACAACCCAATAAAAAAAAAAACTGATCTGACCTCATGCTCATCTTATCATCCTCCACTAATGCTGCCAGCGTATACCGTTAGCGCAGGCGGGTGCACCATTACAGTATCATCTATAAGTTGAGCTTTTTTTATAAAGTTAATTTGTCTTTTGTTTGTGATCAAATTTTTTGGGCACTATTGAAAGTATTAAGCAAAAAATGTGGTTAATTAACCGTTAATAACGTAAAATGACGTTGAGGAATCGACAGAGAGAAAAGGGCGCGACAGACATCCACTACTATGTAAGAAACCTATCTTCTACCTTCTTCTACCTTATTTGATAACTGATCTGTAGTTTTCAATAAAATAGAATAGAATAGAATAGAAAATCATTTATTCCAATAAACTTAATTTAAGCACTTTAGTACATAGTCAACAATTTTTTTAAAAACCGATTATTCGGAAAGCTGTCACATCACAAGAAGAATAAGCCAGAAACTTGTGTGTTGCTCTTTTAAACAAGCCTTGTAACTTCACATTTTACAAGTCGAAACGTGTGAATACAAACTACCAACCAGCACTAATTTATTTAGGCTCAAATATAAAAACACAATAAGATTAAATCAGTCGTAGTGATAAGAGCAGACCAGTCCCTACAAGCAGCACTCGTTCACGAGTATGACGGATGAGCTAGCCATTACGGCGCTCGACCATATTTTAGGGAGCCTAATGACCCGGCCCACCACGCCGCCACATGTCTGGACATTTTAGTGAGCATGACTACTCAATCCACTTGACTTCATCATGGCTATTTAAATTTATTATATGGTAGTTAATAATCTATATATATGTAACTCAAAGGTGACTGACGTAGTGATCTATCAAAGCACAGCCCAAACCACTGGACGGATCCAGCTGAAATGTGGCATGTAGCTAGATGTTATAACGTAGGCGTCCGCTATGAAAGAATTTGATTAATTCTACCCCCAAGGGGATAAACTAGGGGATGAAAGTTTGTATGAAACTTTGTCAATTTTAAACCGATCGGGCTGAGACTGCATGCATAAAGCTACTATGACGTAGGCATCCCCTAAGAAAGGATTTTGGTAAATTTCACCCCTAAGAGGATAAATTAACGCGAGCAAAGCCACGGGCAAAAGCTAGTTGATAATAAAAGACCTTTTCACAATAAACTTTTTTAATAAAATAAATAATAATAAACAACTTTACACAATTCACACAGCGCCATCTAGTTCCGAACTAAGTAGAGCTTGTACTATGGTTACTGAACTACTGACAGACATTAAAAAAATATTTTGTATATACATAATAGAAAACATCCAGACCGATACAAACATATATACTTACTGATGAAAATATATATGTGTGTATTGTGTTTGGTTCGAACTCATATCCATACGTTGATGAAGCACTGCTTTACCGATGGACCATTAAGGTCATTGCAATGATTTAATATCTTGACATTGTAATATATCTCTTAAGTCATTGTACATAAATACTATTTTAAAATAACATAATATAGGTACATGGTTAATCGTAAAGCCAGTTATAATATTCATAAAAATTATTAACTCTATCATTGACGGTCTCAGTGGTTTAGCCGTTTAGCACACTGCTTTATTATCAATGGTCGTAAGTTCGATTCCTTGCATAATGCAAACATTTGTGTTCATGAGTATGATTGTTTTAATTGGTCTGGGGGTTTTCTATGTATATTTTGTATCTAAGTTAAGTGAGCTTCTGTTATGGGTACTAGATAACTGATATAAATACTTAGATTTTTTTAGTAAATACATATAGAATATACATATAAAACACCCAGACAAATACAAATAATCATACTCATGAATACAAATGTTTATATAGTGCGCGGAATCGAACCTGCGACTATCGGATGTATGGCAAAAATGATATATTATAATAAAATATTTTTTTCTTGCAATCTTTTTTTAACTGGTCGTTTTGAACTTAGCATGAATAATGGTTATGATTTATTTTAATATATCCACTTTGTTTCTTGGTGTAACTGTATTAATATCATAAATAAACTTAGGCTTCGTAACTAACCTTGTACAGTTACTATAATAATAATAATAATAATAATCTCAGGACAATTCACACAGCGCCATCTAGACCCAAGTTAAGCTAGCTAAAGCTTGTGTTATGGGTACTAGATAACTGATACAAATACACAGATTTTTTTTTTTGTAAATACATACATATTATATATAGAAAACACCCAGACCGATACAAACAATCATACTCATGAATACAAATGTTTGTGCCGTGCGAGGAATCGAACCCGCGACCATCGGTCGTAAAGCGGTGTACTAGACCGCTGGACCACCGAGGTCGTCAAAGTTAGTTAGTTACTATATGTACATTGATTAAATAAATTCTAACACTAAATCACAAAAAACAACCTTACTTTTATTACAAGGTATATGTTAATTTTTACACAAAAACTATTGTATAAATTATATATTTTTTATATAATATACAATTATTCATTCATAATTTAAGAGCTGTGCTCTTGTCGGTGGAGCTCTCGCCACCTTCCACGATCTTCTATCAGTCCCTTTAGCTGTTGATACGACACGACTCCAACTTTTCTTTAACTTGCTTGATATAGCTGTGTCTTGGTCTTCCCCTTCCTCTCTTTCCATCTATTTTTCCTTCTATAATGTTGTTAATTAGTTCGTCGTGTCGTATCAAGTGCCCCAACATTTTTTCCCGCCTATTCTCAATAATATCTATAATCTGTCTCTTTTCTTTAATCCTCTCAAGCACTTCTTCATTCCTTATTTTATCTTTCCAGCTAATTCTTTCCATTCTTCTCCAACACCACATTTCAAAGGCTTCCAGTGTGTCTCTTTCCTTTTTGGTAACGTCCACGTCTCACAGGTATACAAGGCTATATTCCAGATGTAGGTCTTGATAAGTCGTTTCCGAGAGGACTTTGATATATTAGCTCTCAAGAGATGTTTTTTATCATTAAATGCTCTTTTCGCTATAGCTATTCTGATATTAATGTCCTTAGTACATCTGGAGTCACTGGTAATCAAACTACCTAAATATTTAAATGTATCTACATTTTCAAATTGTATCTTTTTTACTCTTGTATGTACTATACATATAAAAATATATAATACTACATGTGAACGCGGTTTCACTCGCATGAAATTTATAGCCTATATGTTATTCTAATGTATCAGCTGTATTACTGTGAGGTTTCATAAAAATCCGTTCAGTAGTTTTTGCGTGAAAGAGTAACAAACATCCATCCGTACTCACAAACTTTCGCATTTATAATATTAATAAGTTATGTATGTTTATATATATTATTATTATTATATTAGTAATTATAAATAATTTATTGTTTAAATAAGTACACTGCATTTACAGATTTTTATAAATATAATTAAATATATCCATTAATAATAATTAAAATAATAGTTTTATACTTAGATATATAATATATTTTTATTTCTTAATTTTCTGGCTAAGATAAAAAAAACATTGAAGAATATATAAATGATAATAAAGTTTTTGTAGAAAATATCTAACTTAAAATTCATAGCGCTGACAATGTTATCTGATTGAACAGAGATTAAGTTAATTAAGTTTCTATGTTGATTGTCGCATGCCTAATCCTTGTTGTTAATTAAATATAAGTAAATCAATATTTATATAAAAAAGCAACACACAAGTTTCTTGCTCATTCTTCTTGTGATGAATCTGCATTCCGAATGAGCGGTAGAATCAAAAAACTTGACTATTCAAAGTGCTTATATTAAGTTTATTTGAATAAAGATTATTCCTATTTCTATGTCTATATAAAAATCTGCTAATACGTTTATCTCAAACATAATATAATAGTCATTGAAATAAATTTGTATGGATCTGAATGTTGGGCTGTAAAGGGGACGAAGGAAAGGCGTGTGCATGTGGCAGAAATGCGAGTGTTGAGATGGATCTGTGGGGTTACCAGGAATGATAGAATAAGGAATGTGTATATACGAGGAAGTTTGAAAGTTGCGCCGGTTATAGACAAGTTGCGAGGTAACAGATTGTTCTGGTATGGCATGTTCTGCGGAGCGAGGAATCATGTCTTAAGGAAAGTGTGTAATATGAATGTGGATGGATGGAAAGGGAGAGGACGCCGTAAAAAAGATGGATTGATTGTGTGAAAGATGATATGAATCAAAGAGTATGCTCAGATTTGACGGCAGATAGAGATCAGTGTAAGAGAATGACATACTGCGCCGACCACAAATAACGGTATAAAGGCAAGGCAATGATGATTCATTGAAAAAATATAAGAACAAAAATACTACTGCGAAAAAATTCTGCTCAAAATTGTAATAACAATACTAAGAAATATAACAATAACATACTTATTATTCTTACTGTAGATTGTAATATTTGTTATGACTTCCGGTTTTCAAGTGTAGTGGGGCACAAGATGGCTGCCTATGAATTATGACTCCCATAAAAAGGGCATTATACAAGCAGCCCGCGAACGGAGCGGACGAGTTGTTAGCTGATTTATAATATACTAGCTACTCGCCCCGGCTTCGCACGGATATACATGTATTATACATATAAACCTTCCTCTTGAATCACTCTATCTATTAAAATAAACCGCTTCAAAATACGTTCCGTAGTTTTAAAGATATAAGCATACATAGGGATAGACAGCGACAGCGACTTTGTTTTATACTATGTAATGATTCTTCAATGCACAAATATGTGCACATATTACTTACACTTTGCGGCGTTATCTACCAGGCAACCATGAGTGGTGCAGAGAAAGATTGAAAATATTAAAAATATTTTCTTCTATAACTCAACTTTAAATAACTGATTAATATGTATACATATTAACACTAGGAAAAATCACGGGATCTTACCACGTTTTACTTTTATTGAGTCCCGATATTTCGGTAGTGTTTCAACCACCATGACCACAGGTAAACTGAAAGCAGCTGGTAGATGGTAAATAAATCTTATATATTCGCCTATCTTTACACTTCGTTTGTTGCTACTATTGAAACTCGTAAGTCGAAATAAAACGTGGTGAGATCCCGTGATTTTTCTCGAAATAAAACGTCGTTAGATCCCGGGATTTTATATAATTGTACGTATAAATTTAAAACAGTATGTATATTAGGCATGAACAAAACATAACCTATAATATATTCACAATTTCAAATATAGGTAATGTTTCAAATTTCATGATGATTGGTTAAGGTTGACTTGAGACGTGAAATAAAAACCAACAAATAAATAAACAAACTCACTATCGCATTTATAATATTGTTTATAAATAAAATATGTAATTAAAAATGACAGATAAATTTTATCACAAAATCCCGCCATTTTTAATTAAAAAAAAAAATAGATACGCACAGGTATAGCACTATACAGGCACAATTATCATTCTTTTCGTAATATTTTATTATCTATGGTAATAATCATTATCTGTTAAATATCTTTGGATTTAAATATTAAGCCTCCACTTTATTATGATTGTTTAGTATTTAAACTAAGCTTCTGTTTCTAGATCTGCTTCGATTTCTTCTGGCGTTCGCAGATCTATTGCGAACCTTTTCTTTAGACTCGGGTGTCTGTCGTCTAGCTCTGAAAAAAAAACAACATTTTTTATTTGAAAATGTAATTACAAGAAACCGGAAAAAATTCCGCGCGACATCCAAGACTACCTACTTTTGCAACATAATATATCTATATATTTATACGTTACTTCTATGTCGATAGAACTTTAAATACTTGATACAAAGATATGGACTATGTATAAGACTTAATTTTTTAACACGAATGAAAGCATAATTAATAAATATACATAAGAATTGGCCTTTGACCTCATCCCGTATACAAATATGAAGAAGTTTAAACATAGACTAGGCTGTACGGTCTAAGGATCTTTGCCTGTTCCATCATTGAAAAGGAGAGGGACGAATATAGAAAAAAAATTAAACATAGACTAGGCTGTACGGTCTAAGGATCTTTGCCTGTTCCATCATTGAAAAGGAGAGGGACGAATATAGAAAAAAAATTAAACATAGACTAGGCTGTACGGTCTAAGGATCTTTGCCTGTTCCATCATTGAAAAGGAGAGGGACGAATATAGAAAAAAAAATTAAACATAGACTAGGCTGTACGGTCTAAGGATCTTTGCCTGTTCCATCATAGAAAAGGAGAGGGACGAATATAGAAAAAAAAATTAAACATACACTAGGCTGTACGGTCTAAGGATCTTTGCCTGTACCATCATTGAAAAGGAGAGGGACGAATATAGAAAAAAAATTTAAACATAGACTAGGCTGTACGGTCTAAGGATCTCTGCCTGTTCCATCATTGAAAAGGAGAGGGACGAATATAGAAAAAAAAAATAAACATACACTAGGCTGTACGGTCTAAGGATCTTTGCCTGTTCCATCATTGAAAAGGAGAGGGACGAATATAGAAAAAAAATAATTAAACATAGACTAGGCTGTACGGTCTCAGGATCTTTGCCTATTCCATCATTGAAAAGGAGATGGACGAATAAGGAAAAAAAAAATGAAAATGTAAATGGCGTCACCTTCAAAATACACGCACTGGATTTTCATTAATGTTAGACATAGACACCTATATAAATGTACATTGTAAATAAACTGGCTTGTATTTTAAAACAAAAAAGAAATTCATTTGAATTCTTGCCAGATCTCAATTGGATCTATATCTATATCTATCTATCTATCTAACTGGACGGTATGGAAAAAATATAATATAAAAAATTTGACGTACATGCAGTTTCGCCCGTACGAAATGTATATTCTATATGTTATTCTGATCTATAAGCTATATTACTGTAAAGTTTCATCAAAATCGGTTCAGTAGTTTTCGCGTGAAAGAGTAACTACAAATCGCTTAATACCTTTCCCGACAAATGGACTATCCAACACAAAAAGAATTTTTCATTTCGAACCAGTAGTTCTTGAGATTAACGCGTTCAAACAAACAAACAAATAACTTTTCAACTTTATAATATTATATATTATATTATATATAGTATAGATTACAGTTGCGATATGTTATCGTATTACATACCTGGTTCTGCTTGCATTTCCTTCACTCTTCTAGAATAATCTTGGAAAGCCGCCGACAAAGAGTAAATGAGTCTTCTCGCTGCGTTTCTAAAAAAAAAACAATGTTTTGTTTCAGAAATGTTTCAAAATAAAGAAATTAAAATTTAAAAAGTTTTCTTATTTACAAGTGATTCATTTCGTCCGAATATCGCATGAAGTTGTAAGTTTTGTATATATATATATTTTTTTTATTTTTGTTTTATTTTTTTTTTACAGAACAATATTTATTTATTTTATTTTATATTCATTTATCGGGTGGCGGAAATAAAGTATGTGAAAATATCGTATATAAAATAAAGTATATGAACATAATATATTACTTTCTGTAGTCTATCCTAATACTAGCTACCAACCCCGGCTTTTTTCCCCGGTGTAGTTATATTATACATATCAACCTTCCTCTTCAATCACTCTATCTATTTAAAATAACCGATTTAAAATCCGTTGCGTAAAGATACATAGGGACGGACAGAAAGCGACAGCGACTTTGTTTTATACTTTAAAATTCCTTACTATTTGATCATTTATTGCTTTTGTATGTACGTAATCATATGTATGTAAAAATTAAGCGTGTTGTGAAACTGCAAAGCAAGCTCAGTTGGATGCGAATAAATAAATAAGACACAGAAATAATGAAATTATGTTGTCTCATTGTTCTGTTGAAGATTATCATCTCAGATTGTGTATTTCGTAATATTTTTGGGTGTGTGCAGAGTCGGACTAACTATTCTGCAGTGTAGGTAAATAAATGCCCAGGGGCGCCTCATCGGACCCAAAACAAAAAAATAAAATAATTTTTTTTTTTATAACTAAGTATTGTATTTGATTTCATGATTTTGATGCTGATTGACATTGTTAATATTAGTAAAACTGCAAATATAGATTTTGTGCCATTCGGTGTCGAGACCTTGGTCCGTGGGGTCCTAGCGCTATAAGGCTTTTTGAGGAAATAGTAAAAAGGTCGATATTACAGAAGACTGAAGAGCTGGCAGCTACCTCGGACAAAGAATTAGTTGTTCAAATGGGAACGCTGCCATTATCTTCGGAACCTTGCCTAAATGCATGGCCGTGTTTCACCTAATACAGGCCCAGGGCACATTAGGGTAATGTGACCCCTATGACCATAATAATAAAGCACTATTTTGTTAGAATAGACAAAGTCATTTTTAAACATGACTCCTTAGAGATGTATATGGGGATGCCTTACCTTCAAAACAAACCAGAGAAAAATAGTTTTAAAAAGTCGTTACGTGATGAGGGGTTCAAGTTCTTTGCTGGACATTTATAAAGAAATTAACAAAAGGAACAAATTGACTATAGTCGGTAAGCATTTGTTAAGACTGATTTTCAGGCGAGAGTAGAGTAGCTATCGGTTATCGTTTGGTAATGGAGTAGAAACTAGACGAGACTAGGGGGCCCCAATCCATCGCGGGGCCCTGGGCGTGCCCAGTGTGCCCAGTGGGGAAGAGAGGCCTGCCTAAAGGGAATCTTTTTAATAATTTTAGTTATTGTATTATACTTTTTAAGGTTTTTAGTGCTAGGTTCATTGTAGTATATATATTTTTTTATATCTGTATAAATAAAGTGTTATCATTATGAAAAAAAATTGTTATAATAGGTCATACTTATACATCTGCTAGCGTACGCAGGTGCACCATTCCAGTGAGGAAAAACCACCACCAGAAAAAAATAGTGAGGGGCCCCGAATTTTCGGTTACAGGGTTAGTCCGGCCCTGGCTAACTGTATTCCCACACTAATGGGCATAGTTAGGTATATAGAAATAGTTTGTTACAATTAATATTCTCATGATATTGCAACTTAACCTTGTACGTACAACTTTAAAATATTTTAATAATCTCAGGACAATACACACAGCGCCATCTAGACCCAAGTTAAGCTAGCTAAAGCCTGTGTTATGGGTACTAGATAACTGATACAAATACATAGATATTTTTTTTCGTATTTACATACCTATTATACATAGTAAATACCCAGAGCGATACAAACAATCATACTTATGTATACAAATGTTTGTGCCGCGATAAAAATGCTCTTGGCTTTGCTTCCGATGGTCGCGGGTTGAATTCCTCGCACGGTACAAACATTTGTAATCATGAGTATGATTATTTGTATCAGTCTGGTTGTTTTCTACTTACAATATGTATGTATTTAGGAAAAACTTATATATCTACTAGCTAACGCGCGGAACTTCGTCTCCATCACACTTACTTGACATTTATCATTACATTTCATTTCATTTACATAATGTCGTTTTGAATTATAGCCTATATGTTCAAATTCAAATTCAAAAATCATTTATTCATGTAGGACATTTTAGCCGCTTATGAACGTCAAGTTTTTACATTATATTTTTTTTCCCTACCGTCCAGTTCGGTATATAGCTCCAATTGAGAAGAACTGGCGAGAAACTCAATTGAATTACTTTTTTTTTTAAATTCAGTTTACTTATATAGGTGTCTATGTCTAACATTAAATGAAAATCCCGAACATGAAAACTATTGCCATGCACGCTCGTCATTCAAGTAATCGTTTAGTGAGTAATAGGCCTTGCTCAGTAAATGTGATTTAACAGATGTTTTGAATTTATTTAAGGGTAATTCCAATATATCCTTTGGTATCTTATTGTACATTTTTATACCTATTCCCATAAAAGACCTATTGACTTTTTCTATACGATACTTGGGGACAGCAAGTTTGTCTTTAAATCTAGTATTAATATTATGAATATTGCTGTTTTTTGGAAATGATGTTGTTCTGATGTATAAGCTATATTACTGTAAAGTTTCATCAAAATCCGTTCAGTAGTTTTTGCGCGAAAGAGTAACAAACATCCAATCGTACGCACAAACTTTCGCGTTTATAATATTAGTAAGATATTTGTATCAGTTGTCTAGTATCCATAACACAAGCTCTGCTTAACTTGGGTCTAGATGGCGCTGTGTGAATTGTCCACACAGTCTCTGTTTTTAGACGCAATATTATCAACTGTTATGCAACAGATAAAGCGTTTAAGATAAATCATATGACCGACTTATTACATGGCCTACTATTATATTTCATCACTATATCACTTTATCTCTGATTGATTGATTTCGATTTCGTCCGTGGGAAACTAACATTTGATAATTTTATCTATGTTTAACACACTTTAAAGAAGGAGGAAATTTCAAATTAAAAAATCTCTTATTCATGTACCTTCCAGTTCAGTATATAGATGCAATTGAGAAGAACAGGCAAGAAACTCAATTAAATTACTTATTTTTAAAGCCAGTTTATTTACAATGTATATTTATATAGGTGTCTATGTCTAACATTAAATGAAAATCGCGTGCATGAACAACTATTGCCATGCACGCTCGTCATTCAAATAATCGTTTAGTGAGTAATAGGTTTTGCTCAGTAAATATGATTTAACAGATATTTTGAATTTATTTAAGGGTAATTCCAATAGATCTTTGTTATCAACCTGTGGTTGCTCAATAATAATAATATTTAATAATTCACACAGCGCCATCTAGTCTGAAGCTAAGCAGAGCATGTGTTATGATTACTAGACAACTGATATAAATACATACAATATACTATTTTTTTTAATATACTAAACATAAATAGAAAACTCCCAGACCGATACAAACAATCATACTCATGAATACAAATGTTTGTGCCGTGCGAGGAATCGAACCCGCGATCTTCGGAAGTAAGGCGGTGTCTATCCCACTAGATCATTTTTTTGGACTCCTCTAATGCTGTTGGCCGTAGCTGGCCTTTACAGCTTCACCGGACGATAGGGGGTGAGTGCAGGTGGCACTCCAAACCAAAGAATAGAATAGAATAGAAAATCATTTATTCAAATAAACTTACATTGAAGCACTTTTGAATAGTCATTACATTTTTTTTAATCTACCGCTCGTTCGGAAATCTGTCTCATCACAAGAAGAACGAGCAAGAAACTTGCGTGTTGCTCTTTTAAATAATTTTATTATTACTTTACATTTTTAAGTTTAAGTGTGTGAATACAAACCACCAATTAGCACTAATTCAATTAAATACTCAAAAAGAAAAAATATTGAATACATAACCAACTGGTTAAACAATTAATAAGAGGAAATCAGTCATAGTGATTAGAGCAGACCAGTCCCTACAAGCAGCACCCGTTCACGAGTATGACGGATGAGCCAGCCATCACTGCGCTCGACCATATTTTAGGGAGCCCAATGACCCGGCCCACCACGCCGCCACAAGTCTGGACATTTTAGTGAGCATGACTACTCAAAACACTAGACCACGTCAAAGCTACTCACAATTGAAGGAAAGACTTATGGAGTACCAAAGGAAGGACTTATGGAGTGGCTGAAGGCCGACTCCCGCCTGACGGATACGACTGTAGTTTCAGGGCACCGCTAGGGGTTCGAACCTTGGATCAGGCCGTTGACTAGACCACCGAGGTCGTCAAATATATAGATTTATAATATTAGTATAGATCTTAATATACCTGGACTCGCAAACGAAGCCGTGGCATTCAAACGGATTCAGACCCTTCACGTTTATGGAGTCCTTGACTGTTATCATGGAGAAGACTCTGGTGTACACCAGGTCCTGGACTCCGTATGATATGGACTCGATCTTGAAGAAGACGGACATGTCCTCAAATTCATTCTTCCTCATTCCTTGGTTCACCGTCTCTATATATACCCCGTTGGTTGATATCACTAATTTCACGATGGGTAAAATTTGATCTGGAAATTATGGTGGTAAGGATTTGTTAAGTGGTTTTCCATGATGTCACACATTAAGACGGATGTGTGACAAAGTATGACGAAGTGTGACAAGGGGTTTCTAGGAGTCCCAAAGTTCGTATAGTTAATGATGAAATCTAGAACTTTTTTTCCTGAAAATCTGCAGATTTTGCCAAACTGAAGTGGAAACGCCACTATACATCCTACGTGGTTGTAGCCCACTCATGCTTCTTTGGAAAGTTTACACTATATCTACCTATCTATACCTTTAGTGTGGAGTGCATTATTCGTTTGTCATCAATATAAAAAAAATAAAATGTACCTGGAGGCAAGGCCTTTGCTGCAGCCACCATAAGGTCTACAGGTTTCCTGGTATGTTTGATGCCCCATAATCCTTTAGCATCTCTTTGGCCTAAATATTTTACCTGGAAGCAAAAAAAAAACAATTATATAATAGAAATATTATCGACGTGTATTCATGAGTATGATTGTTTGTATCAGTCTGGGTGTTTTCTATATATATTACGTATGTATTTAAAAAAAATGTTTATAAATAAATATTTATATCAGTTGTATAGTAGAATATAATAGAATAGAATAGAAAATCATTTATTCAAATAAACATTGAAGCACATTTGAATAGTCATCACATTTTTTTTAATCTACCGCACATTCAGAAAGCTGTCTCATTACAAGAAGAACGAGCAAGAAACTTGCGTGTTGCTCTTTTAAATAATTTTATTATTACTTTACATTTTAGTACTCATAGTAGCCATAACATTCAGGAAGGATATTTTAGCCGTTTATGAACTTCAAATTTTTTATATTATAATTTTTTCCCTACCATCCAGTTCACTATATAGATCCAATTGAGAAGAACTGGCAAGAAACTCAATTGATTATTATTTATTAAAAGCCAGTTTATTTACAATGTATTTATATAGGTGTCTATGTCTGACATTAAAGGAAAATGCCGTGCATGAATAAAATATATGGAATTGAACTTTTAAGTACTCATAATAAACGGGCATGTATGTTAATATATAACTCATAACATCTCGACTCGACTCAATGCACTCATGTGTATTGATACATCACTATGGCCCCATGCGCGTGACGTCATTTCCGGTCGACAAAATGGCCGCGCGCCGCTCTAATTGTCGCATAAATGATGGTCCTTTGAAATTTGTACCATTAACGGTGAATATTTAAAAACTAGGTGGTTTTGATGTAGGTTCAAAACAGTTAAATCATATTTACTGAGCAAAGTCTTCACTAAGAAGAAGTACTGCAAAGGGTTTATGAAACGAGACAGATCTTAAATATTATTGAGAATAGGGAAAGTGTTGGGGCACTTGATACGACACGACGAATTTATGAATGATATTATCTAAGGAAAAATAGACGGAAGAAGATGAAGACCAAAACAGACTGACTTTCATTGTTGATTTGTATATATATTGTATGTATATGTATTGCTATTTATATATATATTATTAAGTTATGTAAGTATTATATGTTAATCATAATGTACCGCCCACATGAATCTCTGTTTGCCTCTAGGTGTTAAGTACGCCATGTGCACCTTTATTAATGTATCTGTGCATTAAAGTTTAATAAATAAAAAAAAATAAAACAGCTTTATAGCAGATTAAGGAAAAAGTTGGAGTCGTATCAACTACTAATAAGATTGATGGAAGATCGTGGAAGATGGTAAGAGCTCCACCGATAAGAACGTGACTCTTCGACTCTCTCTCAACGTTTCGACTAGGTTGCAGTAGCCGTGGTCCCGAGCTGACTGGAGTAACAGCGATGTCAATGTAGATAAGTGACAGCAGTTTCTTCATCTACCGTCACTAGATTGTTCAATGGAAGTTCGCGATACACAGCACTCACGGTATCCGTACACTTATTGACCCTCCGATCGACCCCCATCCAATTCAAACGGGGACCGATGTTACGATGGCCTGAGCCGAGGTTCGAATCCCTAGCGGTGCCCTCAGTCTAAAGTCATATCCGTCACGCGGGAGTTAGCTTTCAGCCACTCCATAAGTCCTTCCTTTGGTTTGGAGTGCCATCTGCACTCGCCCCCTATCGTCCGGTGAAGCTGTAAAGGCCAGCTGCGGCCAACAGCATTAGAGTAGTCCAAAAAAAAACTAATAGAAGTACTACACTAGTAGCTAGTGTGTGGAAGTCCTAATGGTACTAAATTTGCATAATTACTTTACAATTTCGCATCTTTCCGCTCTGTATACAAATTAGAGGTGCGTTAACATCTACTCAGTCTGTAGATAGCAGACTGGCAACTTTTTGTAGATTACACACTGGGAACTTCTTGTAGACGAGGTATGATATGTAATACATATAAATAAAATTGGAGTGTCTGTTTGTAATATTGAAATAACCGTTTTTTACTACATGCATATGAATATAAATACGGTACATACACCAAAATAACATTTTTTACAATTTTTGTCTGTCTGTCTGTTTGTTCCGACTAATCTCTGAAATGGCTGGACCGATTTTGACGGGACGTTTTTTGGCAAGTAGCTGATATATAATAAGGAGTAACAAGTCTTCGTAATTTCGATCCTCGTTTGAATTGGACTGGGATCGATCGTATTCACCCGTGTCTTACTGGGAAATAATTAATGTGCCTTACTCGACTACAGTGGAGTCGTGTTGTATCAAGGCTTAAAGTGTATGATGGAAGATCGTAGAAAGTGGCAAGAGCTCCGCCGACAAGAGTAGTCCTCTTAAATTTATAAATGAACTTGACTACTTAAAATCGCCCGTATGTATCGACTCGGCGACTAATAATCGCCCGTGTGTATATCTATGCCAACTCGTCACAGTGTGGTAGCACTGAATAGTAATCAAATATAATCTAATCTCACTCAACTAATACCTACTGTATAAATATAGCGTGATGACGTCATAGTGTACTTATTAAAAACACTTTTACTTTACTATTTCATTTACACTTCTAAATAGACATATATTGACAACCTTATTGGTCGCGGGTTCGATTCCTCGCACAGTACAAACATTTGTATTTATGAGTATGATTGTTTCTATCGGTCTGGGTGTTTTATATGTATTTATAAACAAATATATATATGTATTTATATCAGTTATCTAGTACACATAACACAAGCTCTGCTTACCATGGGACCAGATTGTCTGTCCTGAGATATTATTATATGTATATACATACTAGCTGACCCGCGCAACTTCGTCTGCACCACAATTATCATTATATATCACCCAATTTACATAATATCTCTTTAAATTATGGTCTATATGTTATTCAGATGTATAAGCTATATTACTATAAAGTTTTATCAAAATCTGTTTAGTATTTTTTGCGTGAAAGAGTAACAAACATCTATTCGTACTCACAAACTTTCGCGTTTATAATATTAATAATAAGATATACATATATTACTACTGTAATGTAGATTCTGCCAAAGTGAAGAGGAAACGCCACTACACATCCTATGTGGTTGTAGCCCACTCATGCATAAACGAAATATCTACTTTGGAAAGTTTATACTCTATCCTGAGGAGATAAAAACCATCGCTCCTAAGAATATCCTTCAATTCTTGTCCCTGACGGGTCTAGGTAGCGAACTCTGAAAAAAGGCGAGCACAATAGATCTATGTAGGTCGCAGTGCTACAGGTCCAAGAATCTTACAATAGCCCAAACAACCCTGTTATATTTTTACTAATATTATTTTATAATTAAACGATCAATATATTTTATAATTAAACTAGTGGCAATATATAACTAACAGTGTAATAGTTAAGTGACAATGTTTGTGTGGAGTAATTATAAATTTTAATATAAAATTATTAAATAAAAATATCAACAGAAATAACATCAGAGAACTGTGTGATATAAATAAATACATTAATTGTGATCTATAATGTACAGTTTTACATGTGTTTTTTTTTTACTTAGAGATACTTTTTTCATATAAACACATTATAAATAAATACGTTAATGTGATCAATAATGTACAGTTTTACAGGTGTTTTATCTTGGACTTGGAGATACTTTTTTCATATAAACATATTATAAATAAATACGTTAATTATGATCAATAATTGTGATCTATAATGTACAGTTTTACATGTGTTTTATTTTTTACTTAGAGATACTTTTTTCATATAAACACATTATAAATAAATACATTAATTGTGATCAATAATGTACAGTTTTACATGTGTTTTATCTTGGACTTGGAGATACTTTTTTCATATAAACATATTATAAATAAATACCTTAATTATGATCAATAATTGTGATCTATAATGTACAGTTTTACATGTGTTTTATCTTCGACTTGGAGATACTTTTTTCATATAAACATATTATAAATAAATACATTAATTGTGATCTATAATGTACAGTTTTACATGTGTTTTTTTTTTTACTTAGAGATACTTTTTTCATATAAACATATTATAAATAAATACGTTAATTATGATCAATAATTGTGATCTATAATGTACAGTTTTACATGTGTTTTATATGTACTTTAAAAACTATTAAAAAAAATTGTACAACACTACCTTGTGTTCCTAAATATAGTTTAGGAACACAGAGTAGTGTTGTACAATTTTTTTTAATAACTATAAACGACTATAAACTCGTGGGGTATAGTTAGAAGTATATATTTGATATGTCCACATTTTACAAATAATATTTGAATTAAATGGAATTCAGGACGAGTCTACAGCCGTGTTATGAATCATATAAATAATCCTTATTCAAATAAACTCAATACAAGCATTTTTGAATAGTCATATTTTTTATTCTACCACTCATTCGGAACGCAGACTCATTACAAGAAGAATGAATAAGAAACTTGTGTGTTGCTCTTTTAAATAAGTTATTTTAATTAAATAATTACACAATAACAAGTAAGAGGCATTCGATAATTAATATAGAAACCACAACGCACTGCATTCTTAGTGCAATCAGATTATTATCATTTACAAATTCTTCAATATTATAATAACCATTTTTACTGAGAAAATGTTTTATATGAATCTTTTTGTTTCAGATAAACCTTGTTACCGGTATTTTACATTACCGGAGAGATAGTGAACAGTTCACAACGCCAAATCAAAGCTGTACTAAACATTGGCTTCACTACATAGTATAAAACAAAGTCGCTGTCGCTGTCTGTCCGTTCGTATGTATGCTTAAATCTTTAAAACTACGCAACGGATTTTGAAGGAGTTTTGTTTTAAATAGATAGAGTGATTCAAGAGGAAGGTTTATATGTATAATACACGTACACCCGGGCGAAGCCGGGGCTAGTTGCCAGTAATATATAATACAATATTGGGAGTACTGGTGGTTTGTATGTTCTTTATGAGAACATAGCAATAACATAAGAAATATTCCGTTTGACCATATAATGTAAGATCAAATGAAATGACCTCTTAGTAATTACATCAAAGGTGCAGTCACTTAGTGGTTTAGTATGTCCGTTCACGTTTTGTGGATCACAGATTCAATTTTTCTACTTTTATTTTATAAAATTCTCTAATTAACTTCTTTGTTAAATTTCACGCGGACGAAGTCGCTTGTACAGCTAGTAAAAAATAATGTCAGTGAAACAAATAAAATAAAAAAAATCCATAAAAAAAATGGTGACGCAGTAGGAATGTGGACTCACCTGAAATGACATCGGCAGATCATCTACTGTAACTGGAGTTTCGTTTTCAGCCATTTTTATAGTATATAATTTTAAATACTTCTTACATTACTTGTTGGACTTTAAAAAATATATTACAGCTATCTCTTTCCGATGATTTCATTCATTTTAGCATAGCATTAATCTGAAAAGAAACGGAAAATAATTAGTAACTAATAGTATTTTTCATACTACGCCTAGTGCGAGGTCCAATTAAAATTTCAAATTCAAAATATCTTTATTCATGTAGGTCTATTACAGACTCTTATGATATGTCAAATCTACCGTCAGTTCGGAATGATTTCGAGATGAGAAGAACTGTCAAGAAACTCAGCTCGTATTCTTTTCAAATAAATGTTGTACATGTTTACAATAATACAGATTCATTTAAATTCAAATTTGGGAGAATAGAGTGACCACCAGCATATGCTATTGCGAAAGCAAATAGTCTAATCAGTGTTCGTAACCTGAACAACCATGTCTGTTGTATTAGTAAATTTCGATATAAATAAAACCCCTAGACATATACAAACAAACACTCTCACGGAGGAGTATAGGATTGTTAGTAATGTGGACTAATGACCCCATTGCTAGCAATGTACCATGTCAGGTTGACCTCCACGCGGTTCCCCCTGGAAACCATCGTGATAAATTCCTGGTGAATTTGTCACGATGGGCTAACTGACCTGACCTCATACTCATCTTATCATCCTCCACTGGTGCCCCGCCAGCGTATACCGTTAGCGCAGACAGGTGCATCATTCCATTATCTATACATATAAATAAAATTGGAGTGTCTGTTTATAATATTGAAATAACAGTTTTTTACTACATTCATATGAATATAAATACGATACATACACCAAAATAACATTTTTTACAATTTTTGTCTGTCTGTCTGTTTGTTCCTAGCCGGAACATGAACGGAACACATCTCTGAAATAGCTGGACCGATTTTGACGGGACTTTTTTTGGCAATTAGTCGATGTAATAAGGAGTAACTTAGGCTACTTTTATTTTAGAAAAATAAAGTTAATTTGTAAATTACGAAGCGGGAACAGCTAGTCATCCTTAAGAACAAAAGTCTTACTCATGAATACAACTGTTTACATCGTGCGCGGAATCGAACCCGCGACCTTTCGAAAGTAAATCTTTTTTTTGTGATTTGAACACGGTATTATTTTAAAGATAGGGACAAAGAAGCTTGTGGTATATAGTACATTTCTAGCCCTTATTGTGTTCACGCTTGACATTTCTATTTCACCCTTAAGATACGCTCTGATGATTACCTGCTTTATAAAATAAGGTTAACAAACCTATAATAGTATTTTTTTATTCTACGATAGTGGCAAAGAAGCATACGGCCCGTCTGATGGTAATTGGTTACCCTAGCCTATCTATACATCTTATATATAAAATTCTCTTGACACAGTTTTCGTTACGATACTCCTCCGAAACGGCTCGACCGAGTCTCATGAAATTTTGTGAGCGTATTGATTAGGGCTGAGAGTCGGCCAACATTTTTTTTTATTTTTTAGATAAAATTTTTAGTTTCTATTTTTTTATGATACAACATACAAAAATACATACAATCCTAAATTTTCACCCTTCTATCATCAACCCCTATTTTTTTATAGCGTTATTAATTTATATGGCAAAACGACGTTTGCCGGGACAGCTAGTATATATATATGTATATGTATATAGATCCCGATATTATCTTTCAGTAATCCCGAAAACCCGGGATTAAGAAAACTACTAGTCGGGATCATATTCTCTAGTCCATACAGCCGTTGTCTTTGGTATAATTTCTGTATTTTAATTTATTTTTCCTTCTTTATCACTTAAATTCATTTTCTTATCTTGTTTTATCTCATGTCACAGGAACTGTTATGGTCATTAAAGTTCCAATAAAAAGGTTTAGCAAGTTATTTTGTTTTGATTAGATATTTTTTATCTTTATTGTTTTAGATAAATTATTGTATGGATTGGTATAAGGTTGACGGCCTCGGTGGTCTAGTGGTATTAGCAATTCCGATGGTCGCTGGTTCGATTTCTCACACGGTACCATGTTTGTATCGATCTGGTTTTTTTCTATATTTATTATGTTTGTATTTACATCCGTCATACTCGTGAACGGGTGCTACTTGTAGGGACTGGTCTGCTCTAATCACTATGACTGATTTCCTCTTATTAAATTTTAACCAGTTGGTTGTATATTCAATATTTTTTCTAATTGAGTATTTAATTGAATTAGTGCTAATTGGTAGTTTGTATTCACACACTTAAACTTAAAAATGTAAAGTAACAATAAAATTATTTAAAAGAGCAACAAGCAAATTTCTTGCTCGTTCTTCTTGTGATGATTCTTGTGATTTCTTCTTTCCGAATGAGCGGTAGATAAAAAAAATGTGATGACTATTCAAGTGTTTCAATGTAAGTTTATTTGAATAAATGATTTTCTATTTTATTCTATTCTATTCCTCGCACGGTACAAACATTATATTTATGAGTATGATTGTTTTTTTTTCCGAATGAGTGGTAGAATCAAAATATGACTATTCAGAAGTGCTTGTAATGAGTTTATTTGAATAAAGATTATATCTATTTCTATTTCCTTTATCTGTCTGGGTGTTTACTGTCTTTGTTACGTTTGTATTTACAAAAAAAAGTATCTATGTATTTACATCAGTAATCTAGTGCCCATAACGCAAGCTCTTCCGATGGTGACACGTTTGATTCAACCAACATTTTATTCATGAGTATGATTGTTTATATCGATCTGGTTGTTTAATAACTTTATTTTATTTGTATTTACAAAAAAAGTATCTATGTATTTACATCTGTACTCATCATCATCATCATCACCTGCTTCATCCTTATCCCATTTATTGTTGGTCGACGTAACCCACTTATTTGTGGTCGTCGTAATATGTTTTTCTCTTCCATTCATCCCTGTTCGCAGTCATCTCGTTATTTACTCCCTTTCTTACCGTATCATCTTTCACACAGTCCATCCATCTCTTTTTCGGCCTCCCTCTGCCCTTATAACCATCCACATTCATGTGTAACACCTTTCTTAAAATATTATCTTCATTCCTACGCATTACATGCCCATACCACGATACATGTTTTGATTATCTCGGGACTAGATGGCGCTGTGTGAATTGTCCGAGGATATTATTATTATTATTGCACCTGCCAGTAACTTTGATAGAAGAGGGGTGCGGTTTTGACTAAATAACAGATGTGTTGACCGTTAAGTTGATGGCACAGGTGCGTACGCGCATATACAAGCGATCGTCGTTCCCCCGTCAAATTTAAACGGGGATCGAAATTACGACGGCCTGATCCGAGGTTCGAACCCCTAGCGGTGTTCTCAGACTAAAATCGTATCCCTCAGGCGGGAGTTGGCCTTCAGCCGCTCCATAAGTCTTTCCTTTGGTTTGGAGTGCCATCTGCACTCGCCTATCGTCCAGTGAAGCTGTAAAGGCCAGGTGAGCCAACAGTATTAGAGTGGTTAGAAAAAAATTACAAACTATTGCGTTGATATAAAATGATAAGAAAGTATTGTTTAAAATAACGTTGTTGGTTGGTTGACGGTGTCGGTGGTCTGTTTAGCGCACGACCTTACATTCGTTGGTCGCGGGTTCGATTCCTCGCACGGTACAAACGTATTTATTAGATATATTCATGAGTATGATTGTTAAAATATTTTCTTATTACACAACCTTACATTCGTTGGTCGCGGGTTCGATTCCTCGCACGGTACAAACGTATTTATTAGATATATTCATGAGTATGATTGCTTGTATCAGTCTGGGTGTTTTCTATGTATATTATGTATGTATTTAAAAAAATGTATCTAAGTATATTTATTAGTTATCTAGTACTTATAACACAAACTCTTCTTAGCTTGAGACTAGAGGGCGCTGTGTTAATTGTCCAGGGTATTATAAAATATGTACCGGAATCGAACCCGATACCATTGGATACTATCTATACTTAGAAATAGGCTTGAACTTTTAACTATAGACACTTTTTAACCGTTTAAATGTATAAGAACATAAGTCGTGAACTGTGCCGGTATTTTTTTTTTATTTCTTTATTTTGGTCGTGATTTCGTGACATAATCATCTTTAATGGTCACTTGCACTGATGGTACATTCAAATCTATGGATTGAGTAACTGTTGACAATTGTTTGAAATTAACTTTATTATATACTAGCTGTAAACGCGACTTCGTCCGCGTGGAATTACACTTTATTTTTCTAAAATAAAAGTCGCCTAAGTTACTCCTTATTACATCAGCTACCTGCCAATAAAAGTCCGTCAAAATCGGCCCAGCCATTTCAGAGATTAGCCGGAACAAACAGGCAGACAAAAATTGTATAAAATGTTATTTTGGTGTTTGGTGCATGTAGTAAAACGGTTGTTACAATATTACAAATAGACACTCCAATTTTATTTATTTGTATAGATATATAACTTTTTTCTGAAACTCGACTGACAAACAAACAAATAGGCAGATCAATTGGATCGTTCGTTTATTTGTAACACTTTATTGTACAGTAACAACTTTTAAAATGGCAGACTACAATTAATAATAATGAAATAAATAACTTTGACTATTAACACAGCGCCATCTAGTCCCAAGCTAAGCAGAGCTTGTGTTATGAGTACTAAACAACTGATGTAAACACAATGATTCCACAGTTTTTTATTAATTACATATTATATATAGAAAACATAATGAATACAAATGTCTAAACTGTTAGAGTTCACAACAATATTGTAGAATAGAAATCGATGTTTTAAAAATATATGAAAAGAAGGCAGTTTGTGTATAGTACTAATCTAGCTAATATAAAGATTATTGCAAATATTGTAATTAGCGCCATCTAGTATTTATAAATCGACCTTCTACACTGACTTCGGTCTATAAATATGGAGGTTGGTAGTCGAATAACCCCACCTCCCCACGGGCCCACCCGTTCCACCCCGACCACACTTTTACACACACACACGACACCGTCCTCGCCGGCGAAGACGACGACCTCAAACACACAATATCGCGCATTCAACCGGGCGCCTGCGCGCGCCCGGGCGCTCCACACCGGCGCCCCCGGGCGCCCCTCC